CTGTCCTCTCATCACAGTACCAAGTGTTTTTTTTTAAATGAATCCACTCTCCTGGTCACAATCACACTTCCTGGCAACTTGTTCCAGTCAATAATTGTTGTGAACAATTTGCTTTCACTTTTGCCTATTAATGCATAGTCTAATGCAACATAGTCTAATCCAAAATCAAAAGAATAATAAATTGGTTATTTTCAATCTACAACTGTTTGTGGGACACTGCTGTGCGCAATTGGCTGCTGCGTTCGCCCACAAACATACAGTCAATTCACTTTACAGTGTGTTCTGTGAAGCGCTTTGGGACGTCCTCCCGACGTGAAAAACGCTATATCAAATGCAAGGATTATTATTATTATTATTAACTTCACAGAAATTTGTGAAGCTCTTTTGAGTCCTTCCCAATATTAAACAAATTATATCAAATGCAAGGATTTTCTTATTAAAAGACTATGAGATATAGCTCACACAGACTAGCTGACCTATTTTCCTATCTGCCAACAGCTTCTTCTCCCGCCCCAACACCATCATGTACAGCATTCCTCAGGGTTCTTTTCTCAGTCCTCTCCTCTTTAATATTTACTCGATGTCATCTGCAAGCATGGGATTAACGTTCACATGTATGCAGACAACCACTGCTGTCCTGATCAATTGCCTGTCAGACATCAATTCCTGGATGAAAGCTAACTAGCTCCAATTGTATGGCCACAACACACTCCTGTTTGGCTCCCGTCAGCACCTGCTCATCTCAGGCACTGACAGTGTTACTATACATGGATGCACTTTCCACCTCGCCGAGCCAACGCAGAAGCTCAATGTCTTGTTCGACTTTAAACTGTACTTTGAAACCCATATCCACCAACAGCCTTTCTTTCCCCACTTCCTGGAATTCGATCTTGGAGTCCTTGCACCTAGCTCTTTCCCTCATCTCCTTCAAGGTCCATCTCAAAACCTTCCTCTTTGACCGTGCCTTTGTTCATCTTCCCACAGTCACCTTTCTTGAGCCCCACCCTCTGGATTCCAACCTGCAGCATGAGTTCAAACCCTCGACTGTCCAGCGCCTTGGACGTCCTCCTGACATGAAAGGCACTACATGAATGCAATTTGTTGTTGTATACAAACAGCGATGACCCAAGTAATAACTAATAGCCCTTGCATTTGATATAGTGCCTTTATGTCGGGAGAACGTCTCAAAGCACTTCAACAACAACAGCAACAACATTACATTTGAAAAGCGCCTTTCACATCAGGAGGTGCTGTGATGACATATTTTGTGGGTGCATGTTTTAATAACGTTTTGGTGAATTTGTATGAAGGGCACGCTATTTGGGTGAGGAAAGTCCCTACTTTTAGAAATGATGCTATGGAACTTTTAATCTCCACATGAGCCACCAGAATAGATAGATGGTACCTCAATTCAATGTCCAGTACAATACATAGCACCTTCAAGAATGAGTTTGAAACCATAAACATCTGACTGAGAAGGGAGGATGTTACCAGCGGAACCAAATTGGCACTGGAGTTAGAAATATTTCTGTGCATGCGACTGCACACGCACAATTTCTCCATAAATCTAATGTGTTGGTGCACGTGTAGGTATTTACAAAAACATTCTTTATATTTAGCTATGATTTATGTAAATCACCTCATGCAAAAATAGCGCATTAATCAGATGAAAGAGCACTGCAAGGTACAGCGAGTCATTTACAGGAATCAACAAGTCACTATCTTTGCTTTCTCCTCCTGGTTTACGGCACCACCCAGCAATGCAGTTTCTTAACTTTGAATGCACAGTCCGAACTCTGGTTTAAGAAGAATATTTGAAATTATTGAAAGATGTTTGGAAGGAGTCATTCATCTATTACCTGGTCTATTACTTATGGGGACTTCAATCCACACAACATAAACTGGAAATGCCAAGAGGGAAGGACTGTGGGTTTGTCAATGAGTGTTTTCTGACTCAGTGAACCCATAAGGGGATGTTCCCTTCTTGACTGAATTCTAGTCATGTAACCGACCCCAGACTTCCAAAAGGAATTTGACAAAGTACCACATAAGAGACTCTCTCACAAACTGACATCACTGGGCATCATGAGTAAGACATGGAGCAGGATTTTAAATTGACTGAAGGAAAGGAAGCAGAGGGTAGTCATTATGGTAGCCAAATAGGGGGAGGTATTAAGTGGGGTGCCTCAGGGGTTTCTGATGGGACCCCTTTTGTTCTTTATATACATTAATTACCTGGATACTGACTCAATGCAAAGTCGTTAAACCAGGGGAAGATACTAAGTGGGATGCCCCAGGGATTTGAATCAGGCCCATTCTTGTTCCTTGTATTCATTAATAACCTGAATTCACAGATTCGGAGACTCGGAAATTTAGTTAAATTTGCTGATGACACCCTCCAAGGTGGTGGTGGGGCAATGGGAAGGGAATGTGGAATCAGAAAAGACAACAAACAAACACTAGAGTTCAACCAACAGAGCCAAACTGACCATGTTATTATGTTCAAATGCTGCTATAATTGTATGAATAAGTGGATTCATAATTTATGCACATCTGATTTATGTACTTGATTAATCAAAATGTGTTTCCAACAAGTAGCTTTTACAATTCCTCTCAAGAAAAGCATTGGACAATTACCATCATTTCCTATCTAAGGAACCAGCAAATACTTGGGGAAGACATGGAGATATCTTGAAAATATTCCTTTAAAAAATGCAATCACTATGATTTTGAAATGGATAGAGAGATTGCACTCTCCAATCTCCCTTATCCTTCCAAGGTTTTAAAGCATGCATATATTGTAATTCTCACTAATTAATTGACTGAGCAGAAGATGTGGTATAATTATAACCAGAAATATCACCAGAAATTATAATCATGAACAAATTTACGAGGAGTCTGAAGCTACACAGACCAGCATTAAACAATGAACACTGCTATAAAAATAGAATATAGTGTGAGAATGTTCTTAAAATAAAAATAAACCCATCTTAAAAGCTAAATGTATTTCAGTTTTTTGTTTCAGGAGTTACATTTTTACGAGTGTTTCCAACAACAGCAAGAATGAAAAATACAGTTTTAAGGGGCTTTAAAAATCATTCATTCTACCCCACTGTGCAGTACATCTGTGGTATTTTATAGATTATTAAACAACAAAAAACAACAGCTTTAATCCATTACTATGCTTATTCTGCAAGTCTAAGACCGTGTTGCCTTTCAGTACTTTTGTTTCCTACAGTGATATAAAGTCAACAGTGTATGGATCATATAGGGTATTTGCTTCAAAAGTTTTAGAATAACTATCGGAAAAAAACAAGGATACATTTTTCCTTACATGTTGAACTAATTTGTGTCATCTCATTAATAGTCAAACATTAATTCCCAGACTCAATAAAATGTTGAAGCATAGCAGTCTTCTTTAAAATTTACCCTGTGTTAGGCTTTTTTATATTAGATATGGCAGTTTTCCTTATTTAATTTTTTTTAAACTTGTTTTGTTTTCATTTTCTTTATAAGTAAAATATATTTGGGAGTGCTGCATTATTGGAAGTGCCGTCCTTTGGATGAGATATTAAACCAAGGACTTGTTCAGGTGGACTTTAAAGATCCCATGGTACTGTTTGAAAAGAAAAGGGTGTGTTCTAGCTAACAGTTCTTTAGATAAAATTGGTCATTCACTTCATGGCTGTTTAAGGGATATTGCTGTGCATAAGACCATCTGCTGCTTTAGTCTAATAATAATAATCCCTCCCTCTGATATAGCACCTTATCACATCGTTGAGGCGTTTCAATGAGCTTCACAGAATATATTGTAAAGCGCCGTCACTATCTCATACCACAGGCCGCCGAAACTCTCATACACGCATTCATTACATTGAGGCTTGACTGTGCAAACTCTTTGCTTGTCGGCCTCCCCAACTCCTCCCTCCATAGGCTGCAGATCATCCAGAACTGCAGTCCGTGTCCTCTCCCACACCAGGATCCGTGACTCTATCACTCCAATCCTTGGCTGACCCCACTGGCTTCTCATCACACAGAGGATACAGTTCAAGATCCTGGTTCTCACACTTTCAAAGCCCTCCACGACTTTGCTCCCCCCTATCTCTGCGATCTCCTAACCCTCTACCATCCTGCCTGCTCTCTCCGCTCAGCGGGTTCCATTCCTGCTTCACGTCCCCCACCATGCTCGCCCACTATTGGTGGGCAGGTCTTCTGCCACTCTGCCCCCACCCTCTGGAACTCCATCCTGCAATTCCTCCACCTTGGTCCCTCCTTTGCTGCTTCCTTCAAGACCCATCTCAAAACCCGCCTCTTCGACCGTGCTTTCGATCACCCTGCTTCCCCCCCTGCCCTCTATCCTCCCCAATCCCGAACCCCAGCTGAAACTCTGACCGTCCAGCACCTTGGGACATCCTCCCGATGTGAAAAGCGCTTATATAAATATAATTTTGTTTCTGTTGAATTGACTGTATTTTGTGGACGAAGCTACGAAACTATAATACACTGGGACTACCACAATTTATAGTAAAATCATGCTTTAAGACACTGATGAAAGAAGGCACTGTATCAAATGCAAGGTTTATTATTATCATTTATTATAAAGTTAGATGATGTTTACTTGCTCCTGCAGGCAAACTATTATGTTACCCTTCAATTGAAAATACGTGATCAATTGAAAAATCCCACTGAACTGAAAAATAAAAATGGGAGTTCTGGCAAATGTATGAAAGATCAGAAGCTTTTTTGCAATGATTTCCTCAGGAGTAGCTCTATCATGGCACTAATGTTTTATTTGTATACTCACAATAAGGACATTCTAGGGATTACTGAAAGTGAAGTTTTAAATGTTTTTTGTCTCAATACTGGCATCAAATCTACAGCAAAAGCTGCCCTTAAAGATTTGACCACAATCCACTGCATACTTTCCAAGAAGTATACAAAATACTTGTGAACAGACATAGCCTCCAGGCACCAAATAGTAAGCAATGTTAAAATCTTACCAATTTTTTATCAACTGTGATGAGCTGACTGTCGTGAACAGGGGACTCTGCCAACCGCCATGTGGAAGTGCTCAATGACCTGAGGTGCAAGACAAAAAAGTGGAAAACCATTTCAAACAACTATATGACATACTCTAATCCATCTTACATAAACAAGTTAATAATATTAGTCTCATAATATAATAGGAGAGACAGAGGGGAAAAAAAAGCACGTCAATCCTTTTTCTCCTCATTTAAGACTGTCTGCTAAGTTCCTGGCAGAGTCCCATTCAGCAGTTCACAACAGGCTGCACTTTACATCAATCTACAGGCTTTCTGTCATAGAGATTGCCAGTGGCAAGGACTGTACTGAAGTGTGCGAATGCAGCTGGCTTGTCACGAACAGACAAGTACTGTAGTACATCCAGGCAGCAACTTTATGACATTACTGACAAACGAAGCTTTTTGAAAGTGTCCAGCATAGTTTAATACTTGATTTATCAAAGCTAGAATTGGCTCAAAGATAGTGTAATACCTTTCCCCACCTGACTGTCATTTAAAATAATTACCAAAGAAAACTCAATTTATCCAATAAAATACGTTATGTTATTTTGTTTTCCCAATGTGCTGCTCCAGGTATGTCCTTGTAGTTAAACATTTTTTGAATGACAACAACAAGATTACATTTGTATAGCGCCTTTCACGTCGGGAGGACGTCCCAAGGCACTGGACAGTGTACAGCATTTCAGACCCGAGCTGGGGTCGGGGGGGAGGGGGGGAGAAGGGAGGGGAAGGCGGGTGGCCGATGGTATGGTCGAAGAGGAGGGTCTTGAGGCGGGACTTGATAGAGGCTGAGGAGGGGGCGAGGCGGAGTGACTGGGGGATGGAGTTCCAGAGGTTGGGGGCAGAGTGGCTGAAGGCTCTCCCGCCAATGATGGGGCGGGTGGGTCAGGGGACGTGGAGCCGGCCAGAGCCGGCTGAGCGGAGGGAACGGGCGGGTTGGTAGGGGGTTAGGAGGTAGCAGAGGTAGGGTGGGGCGAGGCCATGGAGAGCTTTGTATGTGAGGACCAAGATCTTGAACTGGATCCCCTGAAGGATAGGGAGCCAATGGAGTCGGGCGAGATTGGGGGAGATGGGGTCACGGAGTTTGGTGCGGGAGAAGACATGGGCAAGAATGCTTTACAAGTTATGAACATCTCTAGAATCCTTAATATAGTAACGTTATCAGCAAACCGTCACCATCAATTCACTGTATGATTGGCATTCAGGTGGACATGCTCCAACATTTCACTTTCTGGTGAACTGACAACCCTTAAACTAATAGTGTCCATGAACTTTTTTTCCCCCGAAATTATAAAAAGGATCCAATGAACTTAACATATCAGAATAAAAATGCACCTTTCCAGCTCTGGCGTTTAAATTTCCTAAGCATTGAAATTTCCCACACAATAGCCATTTTAGTCAAATTGTCTGTGCCATTTAGCTGAATCATTTGCAAACTATGTATACCACATCAAATAGGAATAATTTACGGAACTGAGGTCTTGATTGAAAGAGATCATAGGATCTTTCAATCTACAAGAACATTTTATTTTGTGACTAAATTTACTACAACAAAAACACTGGTTATATAATAATAATAATAATCCTTGCATTTGATATAGCACTTTTCATGTCAGGAGGACGTCCCAAAGTGCTTCACAGAACACACTGTAAAGTGAATTGACTGTATATTTGTGGACGAATGCGGCAGCCAATTGCGCACAGCAATGTCCCACAAACAGTCGTAGATTGAAAATGACCAATTTATTATTGTTTTGGGTTCTGGGGGGATTATTATTAGGCTCTGTGTGGAGTAAGGAAACTTGCCCAAGGTTTCGCCCTGCCTGGGATTGAACTCAGGTCTCTCGCTTGCAAAGCAAGTGCTCTAACCACTGAGCTACAGGACTCCACGTCTATCTTTATAGAAGATTATAGAAGAATTTCCCAATTAACCTGAAATGTCATGAAAAGAGAATCCAACAACTTGCATTTACATAGCGCCCCTCAATCAGGGTAGCATCTCAGAGCACTTAATAGGGCGGAGCTTGATGTCAAGCGAGAGAGACAGCAGTGGAGACCATAGGCACATTTGAAGAGGAAGGTCTTCAAGTTGGCAAGGAAGGGGCAAGGTAGAGGGATTGAGGAAGAGAGTTCCAGAATTTGGGGGTGTAATGGCTGAAAGCAAAGCTGCCAATGGTAGAGCAGAGGGGAGAGGGGCTATGGAAGGCTGGAGCTGAGAGACGTGCAGGTGGAGCCCCTCATCTACCAAAGACGGTGGTAAAGGAGTGAGGTGTAAGCAGATCGGGTGGTAGGTAGGTGCCAGGGCATAAAGTGATTTATACACAAGTGTGAAGATCTGGAATCAATCTGTTCTGTAATAAAAGATCCAGTGGAGCTTGGCGAGGACTGGGGTGATGGGGGTGCGGATTCTGGTATGAATGAGAACACAAGCGGCAGAGATCTCATCAATGGGATTTCATGAGTGGAGCTGGGGAGAACAGGAAAAATCACTGGAAAAATCAAGGCAGAAGGTGATGATCACGTGGATGAGGGTTTCAGCTGCGCTTTGTATGAGGCAGAGGTACAGGAAAGCAATCCTGATCAGGGCAAAGATAACTGGAGATCAAAACCGATACCTAAGTTGCACCTAGGTCGAGCCTGCCCCACCATTCGATAAGATCATGGCTGATCTTCTGACCTGTAAAGACCTGCCCTATCTGATATCCCCTAATCCCTCTATTTTTAAAAAATCTATCAGTCTCAGCCTTGAAAATGTTCAAGGACTGAACATGGGATAGTGAATTCCATAAATTCACTACCCTCTGAGTGAAGAAATGTTTCCTCAACTCTGTTCTAAAAGGCTGACCCTTAATTTTAAGACTGTGACCCCTGGTTATAGATTCTCCTACCAGGGGAAACAGTCCCTCAGTGTCTACTTTATCCAGCCCTTTAAGAATCTTATATGTTTCAATAAGATCTCCCCCAATTCTTCTGTACTCTAGTGAATATAGCCCTAGTTTATTCAGCCTATCCTCAAAGGTCAGTCCCCTCATCCCAGGAACTAGCCTAGTGAATCTACTAAGGCAAGTATGTCCTTTTTTAAATAAGGAGACCAAAACTGCACACAATACTCTAGGTGCGGTCTCACTAAGGCCCTATACAGTTGCAGCAAGACTTCCCTACTCTTGTACTCTAAACCTTTTGCAATGAACGCTAACATGCCGTTTGCCTTCTTAGTTGCTTGCTGCATCTGCAAACTAACTTTCTGAGACTGGTGTAAAAGGACACCCAAATCCCTCTGAACACTAACACAATCTAATCTCTCCCCTCTAGAAAATAATCTGTTTTTCTATTTTTGCTACCGAGGTGAATAAGTTCACACTTCCCCACATTAAATTCCATCTGCCCCTACTCGCCCACTCCCCGAGCCTATCTATATCCCGTTGCAATCTTTTTGCATCATTCTCAGAGCTTACTCTCCCACCTAGTTTAGTGTCATCCGCGAATTTAGATACGTTACATTCAATCTCCTCATCTAGATCGTTGATGTAAATTGTAAATAGCTGAGACCCAACCACTGATCCTTGTGGCACTCCATTAGTCACATCCTGCCAATTCGAGAATGACCCGTTTATCCCTACTCTCTGTTTTCTACCTGTTAGCCACTCTTCAATCCATGCTAATATGTTCCCATTAATCCCGTGGGCCTTAACCTTGTGCAATAGCCTTTTGTGTGACACTTTGTCAAATGCCTTCTTAAAATCTAAATATACTACATCTACTGGTTCCCCACTATCTAACCTGCTAGATACATCTTCAAAAACTCTAAAAGATTAGTTAAGCATGACTTTCCTTTTGTAAAGCCATATTGACTCTGCCTAATCTTGTTATGGTCTTCCAGGAATCTCATAACGACATCCTTAATCAAGGTGGATGAGGGAGTAGAGGCCGACTTTTTGGGATATGATTAGACTCAATATTTTATATTGTATGGCCATCCTCAATCAACCAATTCAGTTTTACACTGTCCTCTGACAACATGCCAGAAATCAAGAAATAATCAATCAAGAAAAAACTAAAAACACACTACCAATCAAACATGGACTTATCCAGACTCTTGCCCATGTTTAGAGGGTAGTTTCTTCCACAGGCCATTTCCAGGCCACAGGTTGGCCACCACTGATGTAGTGAAATTCAAAGTATGTTATACTGCAATCCCTGTAGAAAACTTATTAAACAATTATTCCAACAGAGAGGGCTCTTTGGTCGACAATGCCTGTGCTACTTCTGGTTCCTCGATTGACACTACCCACTAATCCCATTCTGCTGATTTTTTCCATAACCTTTAATAGGATTAGTAAGATATAGGACAACATCTCAGAGCACTTCCCAATGGCGGGGATAGATGCTGAGAAAGGAGGAAGGGAGAAGGGAAAGTGAAAGAGGTAGATTTTAGGGTGGGATTTAACGATAATACATAATAATGTTCCATACATTTGATAGCACCTTCTCACATCAAAATATTTCAAACCACTTCACAAAATTATACTGTAAAGTGATGTATATCTGTATATACTGTAAATACTCTTTGGCTCTCGTTAACGTCTAAAATCTCACGGCTCTCACTTCCTCCACCTATCCGACCTCCCCCTAAAACTCTCAAAACCCGTACGCAACCTAGGCATCAGGTTTGACCCCCAATTATCCTTCCTCCCCCACATCTGGTTCCTCACCAGCACCGCCTTCTTCCAACTCCAACACATCACCCATCTCCGCCAATACCTCTCTCCGAAAGCCACTAAAACCCTAGTCCATACCTTTGTTACCTCTCAGTTGGACTATTCTAACGCCCTCCTCGCCGGTCTCCCATCCACTACCATCCATAAAATCCAGATCATTCAAAACTCTGCCGCCTGCATTCTCACCCGCACCCCACTGCACTGCACTGGCTCCCTGTCCCAGAGAGGATCGACTTCAAGATCCTCACCGATCACCCCACTGCACTGCACTGGCTCCCTGTCCCAGAGAGGATCGACTTCAAGATCCTCACCTTTGTAT